CGCATCCTAAACCCAACAGGCCTCCTACCCTTTCTTCCAACCCCAACACATCCCAGTGAAGCTCTTCAAAGTAACCACTGATATCAAAATCAAGCAGCTACTTTTCTAGCAACAATTATTCCTGAAGCCTGAATTTTCCCTGGAAGCAAAAATGATAAAGTGGGACTGTTATGTTCTGTGCCCATCATGTTAAAACAAGACTAGACGGAAAAGGCAATAATGCTAGGAAAAGTTGAAGGCAGCAGGGAAAGAGGAAAAGCAAATACCAGATAGATTGACCACATAAAGGAAGTCACAACCTTCAATTTGCAAGAGCTGAGAAATATCATTCAACAAGCTCTTAATTTTGCGTTTTATTAAATACATAGATATGACTGAAAGAACATCAGGAAATATGGGTGAAATCATGTTTTTGTTCTTGTCCCACAGCCCTTTTTTTAAAAACAGGCAAAGAAGTACACACAGCTTCCTTTGAGAAGGAAAACCCCTTTTCCCCTGTTGGAATTCACTCATGATGACAGGGGAAACCAGCTGCACGCTACTCCCCCCATCCTTACTGCTGTACTTTTCCTGCCCACTGACCACTACAAAGGAAATGAGGAGTAATGAATGCATTCACTTTCTTCCCCTCTAAGCCATTTTTGTCATGACTTTGATTTCAGGGACATTGTAAAGAAAATCTCTCTCTCTCTCTCTCTCATTGTGTGGACGTAGCATTATTTTAAAATACTACTATGTTAAGTATTCTATTTTTATGGGAACTTCTTATTTCTTATGCACTGCTATTAGGAACACATCTACTTCTAAAAATTTCTTTTAAAGTATTCTTTCCCTTGGAAAACCTACCCTGAAAAATTGAAAATGGCCCAAAGCTCCCTCAAAAGGCTGTACCCCAAAATGTCTTAGGCGCTACAAGCCATGCTTCCTGCTACAACAAACACAACAGTGCTGCCCCAAACACAAAAAGGTAACAAGGCTGCATGCACATGTGTGTATTTGTGTGTTTCTGTTTGCATGGTCACACAAACATGGCAAACTCAAGACAAAAAGCTCCCCCCCATCATCCTCTGTCCCCTCCTGGTCACTTCTATGTGGTGGCAGGATGATTACTGCCACCAGAAGCTTACAGAACATTTGAAAACAAGGTTGCCCTCAGCTTCCCATGGATGACAATGATTAGTAGCATGAAGGGAAGTATGGCCTGGTGGCTAAGGAGTGATGGAGTTCTCCAGGGAGAAGCCTTAGGAGGAAGACTTTTACTTCCCAAGGTCCAGACTTTCTCTTCCAGGATGCTATTAATCAACGGCTGCTGGAGCAAAAGCAGCATAGGTGGAAAATAAAAATGAGAATAACCTTCTTTTTCCTGCATAGTCTTGCTGCTGTTCCCAGTTGTTCTGATTATCCCATTACTGGGAAGGGCGAATTACGTTGAGGTTTTATTTGCAACTCTGCATACTATCTGTAGGAACTTTTTTCTGGGCTGACATGATTATGTATCTCTCCAGCACAAACCAATCCTTCCTTTCAGCCTTCTGCTAAGTGTTCTTCTTTCCCTTTCTTTCATCTCTTGGTGGCGTTTGTTTGTTGCTGATGTGTTCAGCTGGTTGTTAAGTATAAGTGCAGTAAAAATGAAGAAGCACAAGTCTGTAATTTCAAGCAACTATGAGTAAAGAATGTTTTTAATTCTTTCTCCCACAAATATCTCAGAGTAAATTATTGAGACTTTAAGTGCTAGTTAATGAGAAAGGGCTGGACTCTGGGGAATTTGTAGCTATTCTCCTCTGGAACTCTCTGCGCTCCTATTGCATAGCAAAAAGAATCTGACAAGGAATTCAAAAGTCTGCGACACATTTCGAAAAAAGAATCGCAGGTAGAGCACAGGCAAATGGGTGACAGCAGCTCTCCTCTGGCTCATATACTACCAGAGCCAAGCGAGAGATGTGTGGTCAGCTAAGTTCATCTCTTTAAGTCCAGGTTCCAAGACATTTCCAAAGTATTATATCAGCATTTATTATCAGCTTCCGCTGTTATTTCTCAAGAGTTTTCTTTAGCTCATCACCTTACGCTGCAGCTTTACAGACCTACTTAGCAAAGGAATACATTTGGACCAAAAAGAAACTCTGCTCCCTTCTTAGGCTTCCCTGCTTCTCGGTGAAACACTGCATTACGCAAAAAGCTGCATTTCTGTTCCCTTTTGAGGCCAAGTGCTTTGCAACTGGTTTTATAGTAAAAACTCTGCTAGTCCAGTATGTTGACCGGACATGGTTGTTTCACTGCTAGATTTTGCTTTCCTGGATTCGTTCTTCCGAATATGCTGTTGTTTCAGGTATTATCGACACAAGAGTTGTAATATTGGATAACGGATGCCTCTTCTGAAAGCCACAAATGGACTATGAGCCTCTCTCTGGTGTCCTTCCCTCTTCACCTCCTCCTAGCTTTGAAGAAATGTGTTAGTTCATGGGGAGGGTTTTTCCTGGGGGAAGGGACTTCCCCAATTGTGTATGACTGGCACCCTAAACCACAGTTCTTTGCTGGAGTACATTCAGAGCCCTGTCAAGTCCTCTGATTTGCTTAGTGAAAACAGTCGGAGGTGAGTGGCGCAGAGGTGGCGGAAGCCAGAGCAAGGAAGGAAGCAACCTAAATCTTTATGCTTTTCACATGTTTTAACAACCTCCTGCCTCCCTCCCTCTCTCTCTTTCTCTCATCACCATGCAGGATGTTGGAAAGAATACTAAGAGCATGTTTTGTCAATCTGCCACCCCTCCCTGCTCACCCCCAAGCTGCTATTCACACACCCAATCTCCCAATCCTTCCTTGCTGTCAGCAACAGGAGCACCTACAGAGTCAGGTCACAGCCTGCATCCCTCCAGAATTCTGCCTACTGAGCACAGCACAGCACCCCCCACACACACAAGCAATTTAGATCTTCTGAAGCTTCCCAAAATCCTCGCCTAATATTTAAATGGAGCATCTGGAGGTGAGCGGAGTGACACTGCAGGCCTCTCAAATTTCATGGCTCCATTCGCAACACTTAAAAAAACAACCCACAACACACATACACACACACACACAAGCAATTTAGGTCTTCTGGAGCTTCCCAAAATCCTCGCCTGATATTTAAATGGAGCATCTGGAGGTGAGCTCAAATTTCATGGCTCCATTCGCAACACTGGATAGCCAACACACATCCAAGAGCCCCAGTTCCCAACCTTGGGTCTCCAGATGCCCTTGGACTACCACTCCCAGAAATCTTGGCCTCAACACACATCCAAGAGCCGCAGTTCCCAACCTTGGGTCTCCTGACGTCCTTGGACTACCACTCCCAGAAATCTTGGACAGCCCAGCTTGTGATTAAGGCTTCTAGGAGTTTTAGTCCAAGAACGCTTGGAGATCCAAGGTCGGGCATCACGGTCCAACAGCATTCCACCAAATGTATGCATCGGGGGACAACATTAAGGCTCCCAAAGACAACGAGCCTGCTAAGGTTATTTTGTGGGGGACTACACCTCCCATAGGCCACAACAGCCATGTTGGTTAGGGGATTTTAGGAGTTGTGGTCAAAAACAAATAGCATTTCCAACCTCTGCAAAGATGCTGGGGTTACCCCCATGCAGATCCTCCTTATTCTCAGGTCTCAGCGCTTGTAGTGTAACACCCACACAAATCACACTGGAAGTAGACCCAGATAATTCAGGAATCTATATCAGCATCCAGAGTGCAACTCTGGTTTTATATTTATTGAAATCAGGAGTGAGCCATGTATGTCTTGCCTTCCAGATATTGTTGGATCTCAACTCCCATGATCCCCCAACCTTTAGTTTTGCTAGCTATGCCTGATGAGAGTTAAAGACCAATAACATCTAGACAGCCACACATACTTAAAATCTTATTTATAACCCCTGCCCTCCGCCGCTACACTTTTTTAAGTGCAGCTGACAATGAAAGCATAACAACACAATGACACCATCCATTTCACATTCAAAGTAAGAAATGCAATTTTAAAGCAAAGAAACGAGATCACAGTGTATAAACTAACAGAAAAAAATAACAAGCATTATATGCATAATTACATTGTTAACTGTCCAAAGAGTGCTTCAGCATCAAGGGGCACTATATCTGTCTAAACAACAAAGAAATAAACTAGATACTTAGAATGCCCAGACAAATAATTTTGGAAAAAATAATCACTTAGTAGCATCAAAAGGATTTCAGGAAAGCCTCCCCAGTGAGACTAATTCACAACTGGTGTGTCACCACAAAGAAGCCCCTTTTTGCAGTGGTTAATCACTGCTTCTCTGATTGTGGGGACACCTGAAGCTCTAAAAGACAATCTCACAAACTGAAGGCAAGCTAATATTGATATAAATGATCTAGTGTACTAGGTATTCTAATCCCCAGCCATGAAGGGTTCCAGAGTTTTGGTACTCGGATTAAGTGCCAAACACAACAGGGACTAACAGAGAATATGTCAGCACAGGATAAAGATGTTCCCATCATCTTTCTCATCCTTTTGCTGTTTATTCCATAATTTTCTTCTCACCATTTGAGTATCCCTTTACTGCTTTGGCAAATACCGAAGATCTAGTTTATCCACCAACATCACTCTGATATTTCAACTTTGTTATTTTTGAAAGCCACACACCTGCCACAAACTTCCCCAGTTAAAAGACCAACTGTCAACCCTAACTGAAACAAGGAGTTTCAAACGCATCTAAATTACACCAGGGGAACACCAAACCACCACAAGATAAAACGGAAAGTACCCAAATGGTCCGGTTTCTTCACTTCTTTTAGGAGTAAGCATGAAGGTGAGATGCATTCTTTTATAAATGAGTGTAGGTTTCATGAGAACCATCAACACAATGCACTCACAAACACTGAGCGTACTTGGTCCCTTCCATGGCCAGGCCAAGCCAAATAAAACTGACAGACAAAAATTCTTGGTTGTTTTTTTTTAAGTAAATCCATAGCAAAAACCAGAAGAAAACATTCTCCCCTACCTGCTTGTGGGCTTTCAAGGGAACTTTCTTCTTCACCCGCTCCTTCCCTCGATCCGTCTCTCTTCCCGAACTCCCGGCATCATTATTATGGCCGTTTTCGCTGGGCTCAGCTGACACGCAATGTTCGGATTCTCGTGGTTTCTTTCCCGGATGTCTCTCCCATTTTTCCTTTCTCTCCTGAGGCTTCAATGACATGTCCTTCTGCAGAGAAAAAATCAGAGAGAGAAACTTTTTAACACCTTCTTCTTCTTTGAATATGTACATGGTTCATGTAGGTGGCCAGAAATTTCATGCAGGTGAATGTGTGGGCTGGTTACGGAGAATTGGATTGCTCTAGCCCTCTTCCACTAGCCATCTTGGTTTCCTTCCGCTAGCCACAGATCAAGGAAGCCAAACAAACCTATTTTTTTTTAAACTACAACTTCCATAAACTACAAGCAAAATGGTCTATATTCAGAGATTATGCCATGTTGTACCAGAAAACATTTGGGGCATACAGTACTGTTTAGGAAGAAATTAATTATTTCCATAGCAAGTTTTTAAAGAAGGAACTATTTTAGTCCATTGAGGTATATCAGACAACATACACACAAAAACACACACCCCAAATTAAAAAAAATAAGCAAGAGACAAAAATGTTATGGCACCTTAAAGACTAACTGCTCTGTTTCAATATGAGCTTTCATGGATCAAGTCCACTTTCTCAGACATTAGACTGAGACATTAGACTATACATGGCTCCCCTGATCAGGTGAGGATAACAATGATTAATTAATAAAGGCTGTGAATAATTATTTCAAGCTGTGAATAATTTCAATTATTGGTCTACAAGGTACATAGGCTTTAAATTAGCAAACATTGGATGCAAAGGAGGGTAGCACAAGTTCAGTACCAGAAGACCGCTTAATTTTCTTTGTATTTCCAAAAGATGCACACTGACGTGCTAGAGAGACCCACGATCACCCACAATGGCATTTTGTTTTGTGGCAAGCAGCTAATTTGTTACACGGCCAATATTCAGCTCCACGCCAAACAGTGAGATGATTAAAATAAAAACAATATTCTCCTTTGAGAGCAAAGCAAGGGCAGTGTTGTGAGCAGCAATGCCACACCATATAATCAGAGGCTATAAAAAGCTTACTTCCCTGGTAAGTGCAAGAGTAGGTGATACCTTTTTATCGATACTAAATAATAATAATTTTTAAAGTCATCATACAATATGTGAGCTTTTGTGGATCGAGACCACTTTGTCAGGCTTGTACCAATGTGAAAAAACTTTAAAAGTCCAAAAGGTCGTGGCAAGATGGATTTTGCAGGCACATCCTTCTGAGATGTGAGTCAGGAAAGATGCAGGAAGCAATACGGTTGTTGTTTTAACCCAGCTGTGGGTTGGCTATCACACCCCTCATTCTACAAAGAGGCACAGGCCACGCATGCACACCCCTCCTCATTTGGATCATCATAGCAGACTTAGCGTTGAGACAGATTTCAAACCATTCTGTCCTTGTCTGGGTGTTATCAAGGATTCACTCACTTCTCCCACCACTGCTGCTTTTAGCAAATAAAGGTGGAGAAGATGGAGATGCATCTCCAATGGTTGGCTCTAAATCAACAGAGTGGAACTTGTTTCATCCTGAGTATCAAATTCAATTGCACAGAAGTTCTTGACGTTCACACTCCAGGTAAAGGTTGGAGGCAAAACATCAGACACGTTACATTCTATAAGTCTCTTCCTGCCAGTCACTAAGCCTTAGCAGAAACATTCCCACATTTTCGATCCAGAGATGGGGGAACCTTACAACACCTTGGAAAACACCATGAATGATGATGTCGCAGGGAAAGGAGAATGACCGTCAGGAGAAGCTCAGGGGGCTTTAAGTTTCCAAGGGGAAGTGTCTCTAGGTCAAAGGATCATCATCATCATCTAAGAACTGCAGAGTTGGAAGGGATCCTATGAATCATGGAGTCCAGCCCCTGTCAAGGATGCCCAGGGGGGGAATCGAACTCCCAACCTCTGGCTTCACAGCCAGAGACCTAAACCATTGAGCTTTCCAGCAGTTCTTAATGAAATTCTTGAAGCATCTGACACATTTGCCTTCAGAAATTCATCTCTGTGACCCTGGCATTTAGCCTTATTCAAGCCCAAAAGCCAAATCTTTCATAGGCAACTCACTCAAAAACATCTATGTTGACCTTACACTCAGGCTACACAATCAATATCAATTAAGGTGACAGCCAGGGAAAACCTTTGCTTTTTTAAACCTTAGCCTTACAATTCTACATCAGTATCCTGTGCTTTCCCCCCCTTTCTTTTTTAAACCTCAGCCTACATTTCCCACTGTGATGGCCGACACATTCCAGCTCTACCTGCGCATCACTTTTAAAAAAATAAAATAAAACTGTGTGTGAGACTTTTGCTCTGACCCTATCGTGTCGCCCTGCCTGATAAACTGACAGCCACACTCAAGGTTAAGATGTTTGTAACTCCAAATGGCTCCCAGGTGTGGAATAGAGAAATATAAAAAGGAATTTAAAAAAAAACGTTTAAACAAAGTGTTCTCCAGCAGCTTGGGCACCAAAGTTTCATTTCACAAGGGAAAGACTGAATTTCACTCCACCAGAAGAAGCAACGTTTGGTTCTTAAACTTCTTAAGTAGTAACCGCTCAGATGACAACTCATTAGGGTGGCCAGTCTTGGTTCAGGGCTTCTGAGCTTCAAGAGTTCATTGCCCTGACTCAGTCACAATGCTAAAACTGTGAAGAAGCTCTCAAGGCAGAACAAGAAAGAAACCAGGGTTTCAACAGGAACAAAATGGTGTAGAAAGTCATGGGGGAAATGTACTAACTCTGACAAGGGAGACATCACAAAGAGGGTAGGGAAAATACTGGTAATTTCAGCACAGAACTTGGTGCTTAAAAGAGAACTAACGTTAGTCTGGAAGGGCTTTTAGAGATGCAAGAAGGACATTTTCTGTCATCTTTATGATCTCAGGTATTATTTCCCCAACTGACCATGGGCTAGCCTCTACCTTTCAGCTTTCAGAGCTACTGTCAAGGGGAACCACATATGCCACACTGAAGTCCTTGGAGTGAAAACAAATTGTTAATGAAATGAATGAGCCAACATACAACTGACTATAAAAACTGTAGGCAATCTTCCCCTGAAGAAAAAGCAAACCAGCAGACAAATTTGTTGGACACCATATCCTGGAAAGGAAAGGTTGAAGGAGGCCAGGATATTTAGCTTAGTGAAGAGATGGCATCGGAAGCACATGATAGCCATCAGAAAGAGAACTGGAAGGGTTGTCTCAGAGCTTATGACCGAGATCTGTTTTTTTGCTCCTGTAAATATGACCCAACTCACCCAGTTCAATTTGCAAGAGAAGATGTTATGACTAAATGAGTTTTTCTGATGGCAGGAGCTTCAGAATATGGTGGGCTCTCTTTTATTAGAGGTGTATGTGGCTTGATAGATTTTTCAGGGCTACTTTAGTAATGGATCTCCTGCAGGTGCAGGAGGTGGACTAAACTGTGTTCTCTTGTAACTCTATGGTTCTAAGATTCTTTGAAAGAGAAGATCAGGCACTTATCAGCCAGCATCTCATTTCCCCAGACTGAAATGAAGCATAATATCAAAAGAGAAAGAGAGAGAGTGCCTCAAACTGACACACATCAGTAGTAATTTATTGCTCTGCAGAAACCGCCTAGCACGCATCAGTAACACATCTCCCATGGGGTACCTACTATAAATGAACAACACATATATGAAATAGGTGTTAAACTGAATGCAAGATGCTAACATAAATCAATAACTGTGCACCTTTCAATTAGCAGAAACACCGGAGATTGGAAGAACATATTGGAATGCCTAATTATCAACAATCATAGCTTAGCGTCAGATTCTTGGGAAAAGAGAGAATTACAACAGTGCAGTCCTATGTCTACTGAAAAAAAAAGTGTCATTAAGTTCAGTGGGACTTATTCCCAAGTAAATAGTATAGGACTGCAGTCCCGATCTTCAAAAGAACTGGTACCAAGAATCCAGAAGTATGATAAAATGTTTCATCGATAAACCAGTGTCTAGCAATGTCCATCCCATCTTTGTCAAAAGTAATAATCATTGGCTATCCTCTGCTTGTCTGCTCAGAAGTAAATCCCACTGTTTTTTAAATGGGGCTTATTCTTAAATAAACAAGTGAAAGGCAATTAGTTACGATATTACCACTGAATGCAACAATGATAAATAACGAAATGTAACAAAAAGGAAAAGAAAAACACCAAACATCCAGCAACAGAGCCTGTACAAAGCTTAGTTCAAAACAGGAGTGACACATGGCGCCCAGATCCCAAAACTGGTTCAGCAAATGAGAAGAGCACAAACATAAATATACACAAAGCGAATCTGTTTACGCCTTACAACACTCATAATGAAAAAGGCCTTCTGAAAGTTAAAAACAACAGCAAAACTCAAACCACAAGGCAGTAACATTAGCAACGTACAGTAGTTACTGACAGAAATGTAAGCAATTTAAGTAGAAAGAAGACATCTCTCTCTTAACATAATTTCTTTATGATTATACATGGCAGGAAACACAAATGAAAGGTTGCAACAATATAAGGGAGACTGACTAAGTGATTGATTGATTTTGCTTTCTACTTTTACGCCGCCCCATTATTATTATCACTATCTGGGCAGTTCACAACAAACAATAAAATCACCACGTAATAAATAAAGAAAATACAGTAGACGTCATTAGCCATCTTCTGTAGCTAAAAAGATATGCACGTCAGCTTGACTAGTTTAACTCTGGCCGTGCGGGCCTGTCCTTGCAGACTGGTGGAAGCGCAGGTAGTGCAAAACGTAAGTATAAGATGGGACTGCAAGGCTGGCAAAAGGGAGATGCCAGTTTCTAAGCTCAGTTTAGAAATCAGTTTTAACTTTTAAAAAACAACAAAAAAGGTCCAAAGAAGTTATTGCTGTTGCCACTTCCAACATACAGTGACCCTAAGTGGGTTTTTCAAGGTATATGAAAGGTAGTGGTGACCTTAGCATTACATCCCTATCTATCGAATCTCCATGGCCAAGCAGGGATTTGAATATAAGTTTCCTGAGTCCTAATTCGAGACACTTGCATGCTATACCACAATAGCTCACAGAGCCACTAGGAGGCCAAAATTATTCATGCTGCCTCTAGCAAAGC